GACACAGAATGAGCAGTCTCTTTGGGCTGCAGTCCCTTTATACTTCGCACAGCTCACAGGATATTCAAGGACTTTAAAGGGCAGTTTGACTTTATGAGGTCTTTGCTCTACCATCTGACTTTAGAACCTAATCCAATGACTGTGCACCTGAGAATTCAACTTTGCATTCAGAACAGCAATGCCAGGGAAAAGGAGTACAACATATACCACACTCCTGTGCCTTCAAAACTGATCAGCTCACCTCATAGGACAAGAAGGCTGAAATACAGACAGTACTTGATTTTATTCAACAAATACTGAGCACCTACTATGTGTCAGGCACTTTCTTAGGCAATCAAGGTGGGAACCCTTGAGAAGAATTTATAGAAGATGGGAAATCAGTGGTAGATATCAGAAGAGGTCTGTGGAGTGGGCCCCTTCAGGATGGGCAGGTAGGGAATTCTAAGCCCAGGGCATTAGTCACTTCTCAGCAGGGCAATTTGAAAATTGTGCCCAAGGGCCCTGTCTGCCAGTCAAGCCCACAGCTAGGGATGGTGCTTGGGGGCAGTTTCTCCACAGCTCATAAAATATGGGTAACACAGCTTGGCTGATACTACTGGGCAGGGCTTCCCATCCAGAGGGTCCTATTTCAATATGCCACACTTTAGTCACTAAACTAGATGGCTGAAAACGGTTCCAAACTTTTTTTTTTAATTACATTTATTTATATATGTGTATGGATGCACATGCCATGGCAAGCATGTGGAGGTCAGAGGACAACCCAGGGGAGTTATTTCTATCATGTGGGTCCCAGAGATTGAACTCAGATATGGAGGTTTGGCAAGTGCCTGTATCTGTTGAACCCTCTTGGAAAGCCCTAAACTTTTTTTCCATTAAACCTTGACCAGTCCTTCTAACTTGGTGGTTCAAAAAACTGTTCCAACCATCTCATCTAATGGTCAAGGTTTGAGGGGAAAAGTCTGGGCTCAAACCTATGTCCCAAGCCTACCAGATCCACTCCAGCCCCATCCCACTGTACCTTGCACTTCTCCAAATCATCTGTACATATATGTTTAATAAATGAGTCCATGAGATTTACTTGATACCATATGTTATTCCTAACGCAAACGCCCACTATCAGAACGAGAACACAGCCACAGCTGAGGTGTACCCCACTGGCTTCTTCTGAAAGTGCCTTTGTTTGTAGCCAAAATGCAAAACATGAAAGAATACTACTTATAAAATCATAATCAGCTCCAATGAGCAGTAATGACGGTACAGCCAAGAAAGCCACCATTTGCTTGGTCTTGTCTTTTAACCCCTGTTGTTTTAGGAGAGCTGGATGTGAAGGCCTGCTCTGTCATTATTTAAAAACTCTGGCTGCTTCCTCAGCCAGGAGAGCTATGTCTAGAGTACTTCCTCATGGAATGGCAGGAGAGAACAGCAAAGGAACAACAATGCACACAGGGCCCTGCATTGCACTGAAATCTCATTCTATTTTCCTTTTAAAAAAAATTTGTTATTTTTATTTTATGTGTATGCGTGTATTGCCTGCATGTAGGTAAGTGCACCCGTGTTGGGAGCCGTCTCAGTATATTGGGAAACTGAGTCTTAGCCACTTCTTCACAACTGCTGACAGACCTGAGTTGGTGACTTTCCATTCTGTCCACCCTCCTCCCATGGGCATGGGAAAGTGCCCACAACCTTGGCTTATAGCCAGGGCTGGTAGTCCACGGCCTTGCTCTAGTTATTGTAAATAGCCCTTTTTCTGATGATCAGTAGACTCTCGCAGGCACAGGATGGAGCCCGTGGCCTTCGCCTATGGTCTTGTTTTCTTTTCCAGTAACTGCCTTGCTCTCAGTGGATTCCTCCCTTGGAGTGCACCTGGGTCTTTGCTATCTGGCTGATATGATTCAGTCCAGTCTGCACTTCTTATTTAACTGTATGCTTGTGCTTCAATAAACAAGACTTGATCAGAGTACCCCATTGCAGATCCCACAGGCCGGGGCACACCCATGTCATGCAATGCCCGCAGAGGTCAGAAGAGGTTGTGGGATCCCCTGGGACTGGAGTTATGGACAGTTGTTAGCTGCCATGTAGGTGTTGGCATTCAAACTGGGGTCTTCTGCAAGAACAACCAGTGTTCTTAACTGCTGAGCCATCTCTCCTGCCCCTATTTTCCTAACTTGTAAGGCGGTTGTACTTAATGTCACTGAACTATAACAGCCAAGTAGTGAGGGGCTGGAATTCTTTTCAAACACCACGAAGTAACCCTTGTACCCTTTACTACTTACTTCTACTTGCTCTGGCTTCTTTTTCTTCTAGAAGGAAAAACCCAGGCACTGCAACTGGATCTGAGTTCAGACTGAATTAGTATTTACTGAACACATTCAGAGTTTTTATCAGGCACGTTGAGATTTTGACTGAATCTCCTTGAGAACCCTATAGTAAGATCTGACAAACTGGATCACTCAGTGGACAAACCAATCAGGAACTCACAACACTCACAAATCAAGAGTGCTGAAAAGGTGTCAAATGTTTTCTATAAAAAAATGGTGCTGGGCATGGTGGCACACACTTTAATCCCAGCACTCGGGAGGCAGAGGCATGTGGATCTTTGTGATACCGAGGCCAGCCTGTTTTACATAGCAATTCTAGGCCAGCTGGGGCTACAGGGAGACCCTATCTCCCTATCTCAAAAAACAAAAACAACAAAAAATGTATCACAACTGCTTTCCTAGGGAGCACCACAATGTTTTTGGACACACTACCAACCCCCCCCCCCCAATGGAGGCAGGTCTTGCTAAGTTTCCCAGACTTGACTCAATCTCCTGGGCTCAAATGATCCTTCTACCCAGCCCCTAAAGTAGCTGGGAATACAGGGGTATACTGCTGTGCTTGTTTGTTGGACTTCTTTACCTAAACTAACATAGCTTTGGTTGTTCTTTAGACTAACTTCAAAGAATCCTAATCTTTTCAGCACTTACAGCAGATACAGGTCTTCATCTGGCCTGGGTACTGTTCCTTACTCAGATGTAGTGAATGAGGTTCTGGGAAGGGAAATGGCTTGTCATGCAACTTCAGAGTCACAAAGAAGTGCCTTCAATGTGGTCTTCCATCTCCAAGTCTAGGAAATGCTTGTCCTGGGATCATATCACCAGAATGCTGTCTGATGACTCAGAAGCATCAGGTTAAAACACAGTGGGCCATAGGCTCAGGAGTCTGCTAGACTGGCATTTGTGTGGGTGGGCCTAGAGGGGAAGGGAGCTGATGGCAGGCCCAAGGTCTGGCTTGTTATCCCCCTGGAGCACCACGCCCGGCATCTAGAAGCAAACAATTTTCAGAGCCTGTCTCTTCTCTTTCAAATGAATAGGGTGTGTAACATCTGGTGTTTGCAGTTATGGAACCAAGTACTAAGAAGACCTATGGGACTCACATCTATAACTAATTTATCAGTACCATGAGGATACAAAATGTATGCCCCAGCCCTGTTCAGAGCTTAGAAAACACCCACCAAACCAGCAGATTCAAACTGGGCAAACATAATATTCAAAAAGAGCCAAGAGAACAAGGCCAAGGGCTGAGCAAGCAGACAACTCACTTTAATTATTGCCAGAATAATCTGCTGGGGCAATCAGGCCTCTGGGACACATTCCATTCTCTCCCTCTCAAAACAGTTTTATTCCCTTAAGTCTTTCTCACACATTCCTCATTTCAGTTCTTGAGGTGATTCTAGATCCATGGCCAGCTGTTTTTAAATCCTCTAAGAGTCCATGTAAAGGTCTTCCCTGGTTCTAAAAACCCATCCTGTAAGAAAACCTCCCAAATCCTTTATATCTTCATGGCTGGGAGACAGACCAACTTTTATAAAATATCCAAGGTTGAAAAATCAATACGCAACAAGAATTCCAAGACTAGCTAATGATACGCAAACTTAACTAAGAACAGAAATATACTGCACCATATTTTTGGCATGCATAAACCAATGAAAATAAGATGGACTACTGAGTGGATACATAATAAAAGACAATGTTGTTTATTCCAGATGGTAGTCCATGGATGTTCACTGTAAAATTCGAGGTTTTCTGTATGCTTCGAATTTTTTTTCTAATTGTCAGAGTAGAGGGTTCTTCTGAGACAATGAGTGATTGAAAATACCTTTCCTATTAGGAGCAGAGGGCTAGCAGAGCACTCTTCCTAACCAACTTAAGCCAGCCCCCCAAGGGAAGAAGCAAACTACCAAGAAGAACGGTCTTATTTGTCTAGATAGTGCCCCGTCCAGAGTAAAGTGTAAAATACAAAACTGATTAAAAAGCTATCGAATGCCCCCTCCCCAAGGCCCTGGATCCTCACATCTGGGAAAGAGGGTCTGAGTCCCAAGTGTGCCTGAGAATTTCTGGTGAAGTTTATAAAAAGCAAAATCCTGGGGCTCGCCCCTCTTATCTACTCAGATTCTGGGGGTCTGGGTGAAACGCCACGCCGTTCTGATGCAGAGGATACTACGCTGCTCACTCCATCTTCCTTGACACCGGTTGAGAGGCCCCAGGGAACCCACCTCCACCGAGGTCCTGGATTGCGTGCGGCTTGGCCAGAGCGCTGCCCTCCCAATCGTCCTGCCGGAGCGCCGCTTTGACAAAGCCTCGCCACAACCCGCTAGCCAGAAGGGAGCGTGAGGCGGGATCATCCGGGACGGCCAAGGTCACCCTGTGGGTCTCGGTGGGGTTGCTCGGCCCGGGGACCTCCCCGACCGACCGGCCGACCCCCGTCCCTCCATCTCCGGAGGAAAAAAGCTACAGCCTTCCCTTACAGAGCCATAGACAAGCGCTATGAGAAGGAATCATGCTCTTGGCCCAGGCCCCAGGGGCAGATAATCCCGGGACTCCAGGCCCAGACGCTCGCGGCCCTGAAAAGCTGCCCCCGCCGCCCCGCAGCTGCAGTCACACCGAAATCCCTAGCTGCCCTGATTCTCCGTAGCGTCTCCTGGTAACCGGACCCCACCACACCACCCAGGCCCTATTTACCTCCGAATCCAGGCGCCCGAGGCCAACGGAACACACAGACCGGTGCGAGCCCAGCCCGGAGATCCGAGATGCCCCTCAACCCGCGAGCCCGGCGCGCACAACGCCCCCGCGCCTGAAAACTCCTGGGAATTGTAGTCAGTTCGCGAGCCCTCAGCGTTCCCAGATGCAGAGGCCTCAGCCTCCCGGCATGCACTGCCCGATGGCGAGGGCGGGGCTCAGGGGAGGTCACGCGGACCCGAGGGCTTTGAAGCCTAGTCCCCCCGACCCGGGTGCTGGAGAAGGCGTCCTCTCTGGAGCCTTACTCGAACGCTCAGAGACTTGTCTTCCACGAGGACCCTCAGCTGGACGGGAGCAGTTGAAGGAACGGCTACTTCAGCTCATAACTGTCGCGCCCTGTCAGCAGAAGATGGGTAGGTTCTGGCAAGCAGGCCCAGGATTCTGGTGTCGCGTCGCGGCGAGAGGCGGGGCCTTGAGAGGGACGTAAGGCGCCAGGGTGACGTCATGCGGGCGCGGCGCGGGCGCGAGCTGTGCTTACGGGAGGCTGAGGCCTGTCTGCTGTGGGAAGGGCTGGACCGAATGTGCCGAGGGCCATGGTAGCGCACCTTCACCCTGCCTGCACTCGCGTGTGGTGGAAGGACGGGCACCAACCTTGCCCTGGCTGCCTGTGTTCCCCAAATACTGACACTTGTGGAGTTAGGGCGCTGTGTGTGAAGCTGTGACCCATACTTGCCCTCGCACAGCTTATGTTCTTACTGACAGTGTGCAAATCAGTCAGAAAATGCCCACCGCCACCACCAAAAGCCTTACGGTGTCTTAACAGAGAATCATGGGTGGTACCTCTGGATAGGGAAGTTAGGAAAGGAGATGATGGGGAGGCACGGACGTGAGGCAGGAAGAAAGGGACCAGCTTGAGTGAGACCTGAAAGACTGACCCGCAAGGTGAGGACACTTGGAAGGTAAGCAGGATCCAATTCACTAGAGGAGTTTGGATTTGTTACAAGTGGAATCTAAAAGTCTTGAAGAGTTTCCCTTAAAAAAAAATTTTTTTTTAAAAGTTTTATTTGTCCGGTGCACAAGTGGAAATCAGAGCACAACTTGTAGGGATTGGTTCTGGTCTGTCCTACCCTGTGGGTTCCGGGAATTGAACCCAGGTTGTCAGGTTTGGATAGCAAGCACACAGGAGCCGTTTTACTGACTCATCCTAGGAAATTTTGAGACTCAACGAAATTTTGGTCTCACTGTGAAACAGTAGTTCAGCATTCACTAAAGTATTTATAGTAGCTTCATAAAATAGAGCTACCTCACAAAATGCAATTTGACTATATATAATTTAACTGATACTTTTATAGGCTCATTCTGACAAGACTGTGTGAAGAATAGTTTAGACCAAAAAAGGCAATTAGGAAGCTGGAAGGCCAGCACATAATATAACTAAAAATTTTTCTACTAATCATGTAAAAAAGCATTAGAGGGGCTCTAGAGATGGCTCAGCAGTTAAAAAGGCATGCAGTAGTTTTGTATGCATTGTAGTTTGGGTCCCAGCTCCCATGTTAGAAAGCTCATAGCTGCTTGTGACTCCCAATTCCAGGGTATATGACACCTCTGACCTCCTTGGGCACCTACACTTATGTGCACATACACACACACACACACACACACAATTAAAACTAATAAAACTAAGGGGTTGGAGAGATGGCTCAGCAGGGAAGTGCACTGGCTGCACTTGCAGGGGACCTGGGTTCAGTTCCCAACACCCGTGTGGCAGCCAACAACTGTACATAACTCCAGTTCCAGGGAAGTCTTAGGGCTCTTGGGAGTATGGAATGGCTTAAAATTAAGAAAATGATTAAGTGGATCTCTGTGAGTTCAAGGCCTGCTTGGTCTACATAGCCAGTTCCAGGCCAGCTGGGCTACAGGGAGACCTTGTCTCAAAAAGACCAAAAAAAAAAAAAATAAAAAATTGATTAAGGTGCCTGACACATAACTAGCACTCAATACAAATACAAATGGTAGCTGTTAATTGTTGGGTAGTAAGGGCAGTTTGCTCACTTACAAAATGGAATCATCACATCCTGCCTTCTGTTAATAGGAATGAAGGAATAAATAAGACATTTAAAGTATGTGTCCAAATGTAAAGGCAGATGATCTCAAAAGATTAACCATGAACTCAACAACCCTGCAATTCCACTCTTAGGAATATACTTCAAAGAACTAAGAACACAGATCCACATAAAAGCATGTGCACAAATGTTCAGGGTATGGGTGCTCTTATTTATAATAGCAAGTAAAAGCAACTGACAGACTCCTGTCAGACTTTGGTCAGTCTTTTCTGAAACCTGTTCTCAACCAGACTTCAAGTTTTAGACATCTGCAGCTCTTTTAAAACTGTCCAGTTTGGGGCTGGAGAGATGGCTCAGCAGTTAAGAACACTGTTCTTGCAGAAGACCCAGGTTCGAATCCCAGTACCTACATGGCAGCTAACAACTGTCCATAACTCCAGTTCCAGGGGATCCAACAGCCTCTCTGCCCTCCATAGGCATTGCACAACACGGGTGCACTTACCTACATGCAGGCAATGCACACATATACATAAAATAAAAATAATAAATATTTATTTAAAAAAAACAAAACTGCCCAGTTTGAGCAGAAATCCTGTGAAGTAAATCTCCATCCTCTCTTGATATCTGACTGAACTCCTGATCTCCCAGCTAATGTTAGGCTACTGCCTTCAGTAAGAATCTTAAGTCAGTTAACTCAAGAATTACCCAACCCTCTAGTAGTGTTCCCCCTACCAACAACACCTTCCTGATGATTGGATATAAATCTCTGCTTTTTTTTTATTCAGAGCTGAGCCTCTTTCACTCATCCCCTATTGCAGTAAGTTCCCCAAAAATATCTGTTTCACAACTCTTAACTGCTGTCCAGCAGTGGTTTTCTTTAACAATCCATGCTATTGAATATTATTCAACCATAAGAAGGAATGTGGTGCACGCCTTTAATCCCAGCACTCGGGAGGCAGAGACAGGTGAATCTCTGTGAGTTCAAGGCCAGTTGGGGCTACAGGGAGACCCTGTCTTAAAAAACAGGAATGGATGAGGGGGGTAGGGAAAGAATTGGAGGGGAGGGAATGGATTTGATCCAAACACATTATATGCATATATGAATATTAAATATTTAATTAAAAACATCAGTTTGGCATGGAATAAAAATATGACATATACCCTCCATAATAAAATAGCAACAGTGGGACTGGAAAGATGGCTTAGCCGTTAAAGAGAACCGACTGCTCATGCAGAGCACCCAGGTTCAGTTCCCAGCACCCACATGGTGGCTAACAACTGTCTTTAACTCCAGTGCCAAGGGATTTGACACCCTCTTCCAGCCTCCACAGGCACTGCATGCCATAAGTGGACTTACATGTAGGCAAAACACTCATACACATAAGATAAAAATAAATAAAAAATAAGCAGTAGTGATTTCTATTCTGTACATAAGACCCCACTATCTTATACATTTGTTGTGTGATACATATGTATCAACAACAGTTTTATATGCCAAGCATGGCTCTTGTCTGTAATTTTAGCACTTGGAATCTGAGGCAAGAGTAGTGTTTCGAAGCAAGCCAAGGATATATAAGGAGGTCCAGGCTGGCCTGGGTCCAGAATGGATCCTTGACTGAAAAAATAGAACAGAAAAGCTGGGCGTGGTGGTGCACGCCTTTAATCCCAGCACTGGGGAGGCAGAGGCAGGCAGATCTCTGAGTTCAAGGCCAGCCTGGTCTACATATTGAGTTCCAGGACAGCTGGAGCTATAGGGAGACCCTGTCTCAAAAAAGACCAAAAA